GAAAGAAGTAAAGTAAGGTATTACAGAAATAGATGAAGATAAAAAAGCTCAGAGACAAAAGATAGGATAATTTAAGAAAAGCTGGCTAGAAACAAGCCAAGCTAAGGTTGGGCATTTATAAGTGAGAATAAACCTCCGGGTATTTATTTGGGAAATGGGTGGCAGGCCGCCCAAAAGAGTAAAGAGCCAAAGAGGAAAAAAAAGCAAATAAACCAATGTGTGTGTGTGTGTATGTGTGTGAGAGAGAGAGAGAGAGACAGAGAGAGAGAGAGAGAGAGAGACAGAGGAAGGGGAGAGGGAGAGCATGGTTACAACAAGGTGTTACTATGAAGCCCTCCCTGGCCTCAAGGGGGGATCCTCATGCCCCCACTTTCCAAACATTAGGATCAGATATATCATTTATCACACCCCATGCTCTGTAGTCTTTATCTGCAAATGTGCTGTCTTCCATAGTACACTGCTAAAAAGACCTGAAATGCAAAACAAAAGCCTTTTTGTAATTTCTCATCTTACCTGACCCACTGAAAAGCTCCCTTGACTTGACTTTGGCGATATTACATTCTCTGCCTTTCCAATCCTGTCTACAAAGCAGAGTCCTTAATCCTTCTCATGCAAAGGCTTGACAGGTTATGATTGAAAAATATTTCAAGGCTACCTACAGCCTACAGAATTAAGTCTAAGCCTTAGTTTGATTTCTAAGGCACTGCGGCCATAGCTTTCCTGGCTTTTATTCCATGTCAAATGGTCTCTTTGCTCCAAACACGATGGCTTACTATCCAAGGCCACATCCCTTCACTGCTTGTCCTCTCTTCCTGCTGTTCTTCCAAGCCCACTTTAAACTGCATGCCCTCTAGCCAGTCTGGGACTCCAGCTGCTCAGGAGATAGAGGCAAAGGACCACGTGAGCCCAGAAGCTTGAGGCTAGGTTTGGCAACAGAGTGAGAACGTTTCAGAAACAAATCCCTATCTTAGAAAGAGGTGCTTCTTTCATGGAGCTGGTTAGATGTGCTCAAGTGTCTGTCGCTAAGGGATTAACACAACTGCTCCACAAACTTGACTATGGGCTGGCTTTCACCTTTATTCTTGAGGATGTAAGGATACACTACTAGGTAAGATTTCCTATTATGTAAGTAATAACCCTCAAATGGCCAATTATAACTAAACTGGGGAAATGACAGACTCAAGGAGGGAAAACAGCTATTTCTCTCAATAGCGACTCTCACGACTGGGGTGCACCTCTTGCTCGAAGACACCTAGACAGTTCTGAGAGGTGATGCTTGTGTGTGAGGTGTCTAAGCCCTGGTAGCTCTTACACAAGTCATCTCTTGTATATGAGCTGCGTCTTTGTGCTGAGGATAATCCTTGGGACGATGGATGAACCACCAGATGGAAAAGAAGCACTTGCTGGGCTGACATGCTGCCTAGTCCTGTCAACTTGACTCAACCTAGTTAGTTCAGAGGAGGAAACCTCAGTTGTGGAAAAATGTCTTCCTAAGATCTGGCTGTCGACAAACCTGTAGGGCATTTTCTTGATGATTGATGTGGGAGCACCTTGCCCATTGTGGGTGGAGTCATCCCTGGATAGGAGGTCCTGGGTGCTATGAGAAAGCATGTGGAGTAAGCCAGTCCACATCACTCTTGGCCTCTCATCAATTCCTGCCCAGTCTGAGCTCCTGCTTTGGCATCCGTCAAAGGGATGCCTCACGGTATCTAAACCAAATGAACCCTTCTTCCTCAAGTTACTTTTGGTCATGGCGTTTTATTACAGCAATAGTAATCGTAAGACAGTCCAGTCAGCATGCTGTGTGCTTATGAGTAAACCAGTGCTAAGTATGATGTGTCAGGCTTGTGCATCTAAGTGAATCTGATCAGGTCCCTTTGACAGCAGTCAGATGCATTATGTAGCTCACAGCTATTTGTGGTGATACAGTGTGTCCCCCAATATATGGTATACCCTAATAAAACTTATCTGGGGTCAGAGAACAGAACAGCCACTAGAGGCCAGATAGTGGTAGCGCATGCCTTTAATCCTAGTATTCCAGAGGCAGAGATCCACCTGGATCTCTTGAGTTCAAGGCCACACTGGGAACAGAGCCAGATGTGATGGCACACCCCTTTAATCCCAGACTTGAGATCTCGTCTTTGCTTGGGAAGGACACACACCTTTAATCCCAGGAAGTGATGGCAGGAAGCAGAAAGGTATACAAGGCCTGAGAACCAGGGACTAGAGGCTTTTAAGCAGTTCCGCTGAGATTCCAGTGAGGACTCAGAGGCTTTCAGTGAGGAAACAAAATTAGCTGAGGAGTTGGAAGTGAGGTTGGCTGTGGCTTGTTCTGTCTCTCTGATCTTTCAGAATTACCCCAGTATCTGGCTCTGGGTTTTTTTTTTTTTTTATTAGTAAGACCGTTTAGCAATTCGTCTTACAGCTATTCAGTTTGTGGCATCTCCAGCTCCTGAAGATCTTTAAGGTTAAAATCTTGTCTTTTCCATCTAGCAAAGTCTACTGCTATGTAATCTGAGAGCGAGTCACTCATATTTTTTCCTTTACAGAAATGCAAGCATGCTCACGTATGCCTGTCATCCTAACACTTGGGTGGCTGAAGCAGGATTTTTGAGTTTGATACTAGTATAGGCTGCATATCAAATGCCAGGTCAGATAGACTGCAAAGGGAGACCCTGACTCAGGAAAAAACAAAGTCAAAATATCAAAACCAAATCAACCAAGTATTTAAAATGCACCCCCTCCCCCCAAAAAATTTCTACTTGTGATGCAGAGATGAAGACTAACCCTGCTTCCTAAACAGCAAAATGGTGGCCTAAGTGCTAATGCGTCTCATCAAGCTGGCACAAAAACATCCATCCAGAGGGTCTTCCTACAGTGCAGTGTTCCTTTGCCAGCACCCGTAACTGTTCTACACATTCCAATCATCAAATACCACCAGCTACAAATACAGCTTACCTTCACGTAAGCTGATGTGATAATGAACTCAGTCTGGGCCGTTTTTTTTTTTTTAAGATTTATTTATTATGTATACAGTGTTCTGTCTCCATCTATCTCTACAGGCCAGAAGAGGGCACCAGATCTTATTACAGATGGTTGTGAGCCACCATGTGGTTGCTGGGAATTGAACTCAGGACCTTTGGAAGAGCAGCCAGTGCTCTTAACCTCTGAGCCATCTCTCCAGCCCCTGGTCTGTTTTGTAACAAGTATAAAACTGCTTATCCCTCGCTGCACATAAAATTGCTCACCACCACGCCTACCTAACACTGCAACTCAGACGGTTTATATAAGTAGTGACTTGCTGGAAGTTTTTTTTTCCTCTTCCAATTTGTTAGTATAATCTGTGTGGGTGTACAAGTGTGCATGTAGAGATCAGAGTACAACTTTTGGGAGTTGGTTTTCTCCCTCCACTGTGGAGGTCCTGGGGATTGAACTCAGGGCATCAGGCTTGGCAGCAAGTGCCTTTACCTGCTGAGCCACTTCCCCGGCCCATGCTAGAAGTATTTGAAGCCAGAGAACTGGAAGGGAAACGAGAGAGTTGAAACCTCGCTTTAATACTCCTGGGCTCCCAGATTAGGTATCAGACAACAGACAGCCATTCTCAAGAAATAGTTTAGAAACCCTCAGGTCTATAGCATAAGGCAAATGAGTAATTTTTCAAGTTCCAGCCTTAGGCAGCAGAAATCAAACAGGTTTTGCTTATGGAGAAAAGCCAATCAATGACTGTAACTATCTTTACCAACACTGGGCAGTGGTAATAGCTGGGTCAAACCACTAAGTTTTATTATAGACCTTTAAAAGGCTAAATTTAAAGAAATTATATTTTAAATTGAAAAAATGTATTTTCAATGGGAGGGTCTGAGGCTAACCATATGGAATCAGTTTGCTCCTTCCGCCTCTGGGTTAGTGAGATCGACCCGGGTCACCAGATTTGCATGGCCAACACCTTTACCCGCCGAGCTATCTCACCAGCACCCTGACAGGCCAACTTGACCCTCGCCTCTGTGACACTGGACATGGTGCAAACATTTTAAGTCCACCACCATACACTACGTTGCGCTGGAGAATGAAGGTCCCGCTCCCTTCATACCTGCTGACATACCTTAAAAAAAGCCAAGACCATGCTAGAGAAATACAACTGTCAGCAGGACAGACGCTGCGAGAAGACAGCTACCTGACTCACCCCTGAAGAATCAGGCTAATTCCCAGGGAATATTCTGTCAGAAGCCCTAGTCAACCCTATGGTAGAGTGATATTTCCATTAAGATTAAGCAGGGCCGGGCTCAGTGCTAAGAGAGCCATGACTTCAATGTGTAAGGCCTCAAGTTCATCCCCAGTACTGCAATTTCTGGATTTGATTTTGCATAAAACATAAAAAGACTTAAGGTCTAATACAGGAGACAGGAGCAGGGAAGGGGAATATTAGGCCGGCCAAAGCTTCCCTGCAAACTACCAACCTCATGGTGTGAAGATGGGGACCACTGGAGAAATAACAGAATTAGGAGTGTGTGTGTACGCAATGACCGGAGGACAGTGTGGTGTGGTCAAGTCATAACAGAACCACTGTACTCCAAGCAGGATGGCTTTGTACTTTTTCTGTGGTCCTCCCTCCCCCTAATAGTGTCCATGGAATAGTGGGCAGTTAGTCGTCATCGCTGTAGACTCCGAGAAAGGCACAAGGACCTCCCAGAGACTCTTATAGAGGGTTCCTAACTTAGCATGCTGTGAAAGAGGAACATTTTGTGTTTTGAGTTCTATTTCCCCAAGCTAGTGGTATCAGGTCTAATACTCTGTAGAGATGCTGGGAAGCTGCAGTGAGCCCCAGCCACCAGGCAGCCAGGAGAGGAAGGCACTGCAGTCAGGGTAGTGTTTGCAGTTAGGATGCTCCACAGGTCAGGGGTACTTAAATGCATTTGGACTATTTCCAACTTGTCACGGGATGTATTCCCATTGTTGAGTCTAGAAACATCTTATGTTTGCATGCACAGTAGATACAAATATTGTCACTACAACTGAGATTTATTGATTGCTGGAAAAATGAGGTAAAAGCTTATTAGCTTCATATAAGTAAATCACAGCAAAATGGGCCCAAATACATAAACTGTCAAGTTCTTTATGTAGCTGCCTATTGATTTTAAAACTGATAAGGCTTTGCCAGACAATTCAATGTTTAGAGACAAAAACCAAAAATCACTCAATGAAAAAACACAGCTACAGAACATTTTTTATTTTTCACTAAGACTTTCCCAGAGGACATAACTAAGCTCGTCACCATCCCTACCCCCCACAAAGGGTTAGTGCACTCACTGCTGTAAAGCAGATACAAACAGTTTCCAGGACTGGAACCAACCTTAACTGGCAAAGAACACTTTCTCTCTGAATTATCATAAAAATGTTTAAGTAAAAAAAGAAAGGAAAGGAGCAAAGGGGCAACGGTGGTTTCGAATGAAAAGATCATTCACTATCGTGTCATACATTCAATCTTGGCTCTAGTAACAAAATGGAAACAGGGTTACTATCATACAAAATGTTCACTACAGCACGCTGTATGCACCTGTTCCAAGCCCACCCTCAGCCCCTAATGCTTCCAACTCAACTACTTCCCAGCCTGTTGGGCCTGTCGACGAAGGAGCACGTAGATCTTCTCTTTGATCCAGTCTTTGTTATAAGGCTGGTACGTCTGTGTATCAGCTCGGTAACTGAGGAACAGAAAGAAACATGCAAAGTTACAGAGGTCAGTTAAAGCCCACATTATAACTGCCCGAGTGTCTTCAATATGCACATTTTCACACATGAAGTGAAGCAAAAGTGGACGATGCTGTTGTTTTAACGAACAGATTTGCATCACTTAGTATAATCTTATGATAGCAAAAGCCAAGTTTCAGAGAGAGCTCTTAAGCACTCAGTTACATACCTATTGACCAAAAACCTTGTGTTCTCTCTCCCACATAGCTTCTATTTTTATAGTTCCTTTAGTGCTTAAAAAACAAAAAGCTAAACACTAGTATAAGTTTTAGATCTGCTAGATTTGTTTTGAATCAACTAAGAAATCTCTAAAAGAAAAGAATATTACTTCAACAATGATTTCCTGCTAATGTGTAAGGAACTCATAGTTTTAAGATTTGCCTTTTAAAAGGCCTACAGATGCCAGGCAGTGGTGGTGCACACCTTTAATCCCAGCACCCAGGAGGCAGAGCCAGGCAGATCTCTGTGAGTTCGAGGCCAGCCAGTCTACAGAGCGAGATCCAGGACAGGCACCAAAACTACACAGAGAAACCCTGTCTCGAAAAACAAAAAACAACAAAACAAAACAAAAGACAGGAAAATTTCAGGACATCTCTTTCAGAAGAGAAGGGTGAGACAGGAAGACCACCAGCGGCAGAACTCTTATTGATAATGAAGGTTTTCAGAGCATATAGTACCCTGAGCATCCAGCCAGTCAAGGTATCTTTAAGGGACTTGAATAGAGCAATTTTCCGGCTGGCCTAAAACTGAACTCTCTCTGGTGAGGAATCCATACTGAGGTTGTAGTCTAGGGCTGGAGAGATAGCTTAGTGAGCAGTTAAAAGCACTGGTTGCTCTCCCAGAGGACCTGGGTTTGATCCCTAGCACCGACATGGCAGCTCACAAGGGTCTGTTACTCCAGTACCAGGGGACTCAATATTCTCTTCTGAGTTCCAAAGGTATTGCAGGCATATGATACACAAACACACATGCAGGCAAAACACCATACACAGAAAACAATCAAAACAAAACCAAAGCACTGTAGCATAAAAGCACCAGGTGTGATGATAGAGAGTCCCAGCACTCAGAGGCAGGGGATCAAGTTCAAGGTCAGCCTGGTCTACAAAGTGAGTTCCAAGACAGACAGGGCTACAGAGAAACCCTGTCTCGAGAAACAAAACAACAAAGACAAATGGGGGTGGGGCTGTAAAGATGGCTCAGTGGCTAAGGGCACTTTCTGGTCTCCAGAGGACTTGGATTCAATTCCCAACACCCACATGATGGCTCATACTTATCTGTAACTCCATCTGACATCCTCTTTTGTCCTCTGAGGACACCAGAAATGCATGCAGTAAACAGACATACATGCAGGAAAGACACTCATACACATTAACAAAAAAAAAAAAAATTAGACAAGCGATAGTACTTAGTAAATTAAAGATGTTATTAAGTAGAGGGCATTACTTTTAAGTATCTGAATTAGCTCACTTAATCTTTTTTAATAACCCTGTAAGTATCTACTATCTTTAAAAATAAGAGAGGAAATCAAGGCTTAAAGGAAGTAACTGTTGTAGAATATTTTAAGGTCTGTTACTTTTGTTTATGTTGCATTTGTTTAACTCTCTGAGGCTGTGTTACTGTGACTGTGTAAGACACCTGATGGTCTAATAAAAAACTGGCCAATAGCAAAGCAGGAGAAAAGATAGGCGTGGCTGGCAGGCAGAGAAGAATATATAGAGGGAGAAATCTGGGAGGAGCTAAGATCTAGAAGCCAGAGAAGGAGTTAGACTCCAGGGGCCAGCCACCCAGCTACACAGCAAGCCATGGAGTAAGAGTAAGATTTACAGAAGTTAGAGAAAAGGAAAAGTCCAGAGGCAAAAGATGGACGGGATAATTTAAGATAAAGAAAGTTGGCTAGAAACTAAGCCAAGCTAAGGGCAGGCATCATAAGTAATAATAAGCTTCTGTGTGTGATTTATTTATTTGGGAGCTGGGTGGCAGGCTCCCCAGATATGACCAAAGACCAACCAACAAGCAACTTAACAGTTAAGTGATGCTGAGCAATATTCCCTTTTTTCTTTAGATCATAAATCTTGTCATCCACTTTATACATCAGAGCTAAACGTTCTTGGAATCAGAACCCTATTAACCTAGCTAAAACTCTACATGCTATGTTTTTCGTGGTACTAAGGACTGATATGGGGCTTTGTGCCTAGTAAGCAAGCAGTCTATAATGAGCTACATACACCCCAGTCCGCTCTTAACTTTTATTCTGAGACAGGACCTAAGTTGTCTAGCTTTACACTTTCCATCCTCCTGCCTCATCCTCCAGATTAGCTGGGATTACAAGACTCACCCCCACACATAGGGCCACTTTCCAATAATGAAAATAAACTCCAAAGAAGGAATGCTTTCTATAAGCAACAACCAATTTTTCCTGAGAGACAGGCCAGAGGTTTATTACAAACACACAGGCCATTGCCTAACACACCTAACCAATTACACTCAGTTCTTTGCTAATGCGGCTTTATGAGAAGTAGTTTAAAAAGTGAATCATTTTCTAGGATGTTCTCTGTTTATATATCCTAATTAAGTACCAATCTAGTCTACTTCAAGGTGTAGACTACAGTACAATATTTACATCAGCACTACTCAATAAAATTTAGTTATAATTATAATAGGCATATTAACATCTAAAAACCTCATACCAATGAAACAAAACAACAAAAACAAGTTCACACACTAAAACTTAAATCTCAAGAAAAGAACTTCTTTTCTTAAATGAAAATATGAAACCAATTACTTTAAGAAAAAGACTAAGAGGATGAGAAACCCAAGAAAAAGACTATTAGGTCTAGGGTACAAACAATATGAAGCTTTTAAATTAGCCCACCTTCATCCTACAATGTCAACTGACAGTTTCCTATGCCTTCGGCTTTATATTGCCAATTTAATTTCTAATCTACATGTAAATGAAAAACTATTAACTATATAAACAGACAAAAAGAGAGAAATAAATATAAATTTAAAAGACAAGGTTGCTAATACTTACACAAGACAGCTGAGATCTGCCAGATCATCGATAAAGTCAAACAACTGACTGATATCGTATGTGATGGAGGGGCTGTTGGGATTCATTCTCTTCAGATGTTCTTCATACATTTTACAAACACCTAAGGGGGGGGGGACAACACAAGAACTTATGATTGCATAAACTTCTACACATCGTAAGTCATGCTATATTGTCAGTTATCCATTTTAGAAAAACTGAGCTGGAAAAGGACTGCAGGTTGATCACTTGTTTTAATTTTTGGGACTAGCAATTTAAATTTATGAGAGTATTGATAACCATTTTGTGCTTTATAGTGAGAGGACTACTTTAAACCACTGGAGCTGAAAGACATTAAAGGTTTGGACTATGCATCTGGGTAGAGCCTGTGTTTGGCCCTCAGCAATGACCCTGCCCAGACAGGTTTTTTTTGCGGGGGGAAACAGGGTCTTTCTACATAGCCCTGGCAGTCCTGGAACTCAGAGATCTTCCTATCTCTGCCTTCCCAGTGCTGGAATTAAAGGAGCTTGTGCCACCACCTCCAGATTATACTGTGGTTCTTTTTTACCAGGTTTCTAATCATTCTAATGCTGCAGAGCAGAAAAACCCATTTCCTATTTTACCTTCAAATTTTGATGCAATGGAAAAAGTGACAATAACGGTCAATGAAGTTGGAGCTTATCTTGATATGGTGCTTAAGACCCTAGACTCTGGATTCATTAGGAATCCAGAAAGCCAGCTCATTTACCATAAAACTGAGGACCAATGACTCCACCCAGCAAACCTTACCTGGCAAATAGTAAATACATTTCCACAGGGTTCTACATATTATCTGAAATAATGCACATGAACATCAGCACAAAGCTAAGCTTGTAAATACTGATACAAGGAGATAATAAAACACCAGGTGTGGTGGGCACACCCAGCACTTAGAAAGCTAAGGCAGGAGGATCAAAAGTTCAAGCTCAGCCTCAGCTACATAGTGAGTTTGAGGCCAGCTTACAATACAGGAGACTGTCTCCAAAAACCAGAAACAAAAACCCCCAATCAATAATCACAGTATATTAACAATTATCAAAAGAGTACTTTACCTGTCTTTTTTTTTTGGAGAGAAGGCTTTGGTGCCTGTCCTAGATCTCGCTCTGTAGACCAGGCTGGCCTTGAACTTAGAGAGATCTACCTGGCTCTGCCTCCGAGTGCTGGGATTAAAGGCGTTCACCACCACTGCCAGGCCCATGACCTGTTATTTTAACCAGTCAAGCATTCTATAATACCGTTTCAGTCCATTGCTACCACCAACTACTCTAAGAACAAATGCTATCAATATTAATTACCTGTGGGCAACATGCCCTATACTGTAATACACAAGCCCTTAAGGCACCTCTAAAGAAACTCCTTAAAATTTCCAGTGACAGGCTACACTCAGTTTTACATGTTTTTATGTGTGTTTGCACACGTGGAGGTGAAATGTCATCTTGCTTCATCTTTGAAACAGGGTCTCTTCACTAGCCTGCAGCTCACTCAGGCTAGGCTGGCCAGTCACTAGGATCCACTTGTTTCTACAGCTCAGCATTAGGATTAGTACATGTTACCAGGTTTGACTTGTTTACAGGGGTATTGGGCTCTCACACTCACGGGTGCTTACTCCTTTGCTGACTAAGCTATCCCTCCACCCCCTTCTAATTGCTACTGACACATTACACTGAAATCATATAACTGATAAAATTAAAAGGAAGTGAAGCCCAGGAAAGTAAATTCACTGCTCGTCCCCATTGTCACGTTTAGTGATCACAGACCATGCTGATCTGCCACCACCAGAAAGAACTAACATTTACTCAGCACTCCACTACAGGCTGTAGCCAGAGCAACAAAAAACTAGTTAGAACTAGTAAATGAGGTACCAAGGCTGTAACATACAAGATCAATATATGAAAACCAGCCGGATTTCTATACAATTAAAAGTAAAAAACTAAACCCAAACCAAACAAAACCCAAACCAAACAAAAAACATTTTAACTCCATATACAATATAATAAAGCTCTTACCAATAAATTTAACAGAAGCTGACTTGTGGAGAGGAGGGAGGGGCATACAGGTAGATGTTCAAGGAAGAGAAAGTGTTTGCTATTGGCAGTGGGAGGCTTGAACCTAGGGCTTTATGCACACTAAGCAAATGCTCTACTCCTGAGCCACACCCCAGCCTCAGTCCTCCCACCTCGACTTTATCAGAAAGCACCGAGTGTCCAGCTCAGACTGTCAGGCTGGCTTCAAGTTTGTGCTCCTCTTGACTCAGCCTAAGTGCTAGGATCCCACGATGACGGTGATGACAGCGCTCATCTTTTAACTCTTTAAAATGGAAATTAAACCACCACCACTCCTCTTCTCAACAGTGTCATATGTAGCCCAGGCTAGCCTTGAACTCATTGTAGCTGAGGATAAACTTGAACTTCTGATCTTCCTGCCTCCACTTTCCAAGTGCTTACCCTTCTACCTGTGTATGTGGTGCCAAGGAACCAACTCAGGCTTTGTACATGCTAGACAAGTCACCCTATAAAATGAGCTACATCCCAGGCTCAAACTACAATTTCTAATCTAAGAAGGAAAATGGAGTTATAAAACACAGAAGAACCTGAAATGCACACTGCTAGGTTGCAGAAACCAGTACAAAAATGTGTATGCAATAATTCCAACTGACACAGTGGGCCTGTAGGGGATGTGTGTGGGGAGAGGGGGGCGGTGGTGATGGTGTTAGCATTCAAGGATTTAATTAACTATGGGTTGAAAACATTTGAAAATCAAATTTCACAGGTACTGAACATTTATAGAGTTTCTTATTTCCCCAAGAAAAAAAATGTGTAATAGTTATTTACAACATTTACACTGTATTAGGTATTACAGGTGTAAAGACTGGTTGCCATGGGTCTGGAGGGTGATACAGGTATAGATTTTAAGGGAATGAAACCTTTCTTTATGGCCATATATCAACAAGCACATCATCTAACCAATTTGGTAAAATTCACAGAACTGAACACCACAGAATGAACCCTAATGTAAACTAGGGAGAGTCACCAATGTGTCAGCCCCAGCTCACCACTGTTAACAACTGTGCCACACCAACGTAAGATGTCAATGGATGAGGTAGGAGGAGATGAAGGACTGACTTTATATTCTGTTCAATTTTTCTATAAACCTAAACCCATCCATCAGTTAAAGTACATTAATTAAAAACAAACCAAAGGCAGACACAGTGGTACATATCTATAATCCAAGTACTCAAGAGGCTAAGGTAGAAGACTCTTGCATTCTAGGTTAGCCTGGATAGGTATCAAAACTGTCATAAACAGACAAACAAGTTAGATTTTACTAAGATTAACAAAGGCCAGGAAATGCCACTGTCCAAAACCTAGACATAACAACACGGACATTATGCTAAGACAGTGTTGGGATTAAAGGCGTGCGCCACCACCTACTGGCTCCCCTTCATCTTTTAAGAGTAGAATTTAATGGCAGTGCCAAGGGTATTGCACTAGCTACCTTGAAGTGAAGTCACCTTTGATTGTAAGCAGCTTTTGGTTTTATAGGCATTATTAATCACTGTTAGATTTGGAGCCTAACCCAGTTAAGTTTTGAATAATCAACAGTTTTAGGGACTTGTTGAACAGACAAACCAAATCAACTATATAGCCTTTTGACAGACAGTGGCAAAGATGCCGGGCGGTGGCGGCACACGCCTTTAATCCCAGCACTAGGGAGGCAGAGCCAGGCGGATCTCCGTGAGTTTGAGGCTGGCCTGGTCTACAGAGCGAGATCCAAGACAGGCACCAAAACTACACAGAGAAACCCTGTCTTGAAAAACAAACAAACAACAACAACAACAAAAATGGCAAAGAACTAACAACTTCCTAGAAACAATGCAGGGCAGCACAACCTGTTAACCAGTCTGTGCTCTAATGGTTTACCTAGTGAAGAAACGTCGAAAGCTAACTGCTCCTTGGGAGGAGTGGGAATCTAGCAAAGGCACAATAAACTGTATTGATCTGCTTCTACGAACCTTGGCTTGCTCTGAGCTAACTTATTTTCTAACATTTTCATGGGCCTTTTTGGTTTTTTGAGACAGGGTTTTTCTGTGTAACAGCCCTGGCTCTTCTGGAACTCACTTTGTAGACCAGGCTAGCCTCAAATCATAGAGATCTGCCTGCCTCTGCTTCCCAAATGCTGGGATTAAAGGCTTATGCCACCACCGCCCGACTAGCTTTTAACATTTATTGATTTAATAGTCAGGTTACGAGATTTCAGAAGGTATTCTCAGAGCCAGCCATAACAACTCCCTGGTGCTACAGTTTAGTCAGAATACATAAGAGCTGTGTGTAAAATACCCATTCAGAACAATTTTTTTTTTTTTTTTTTTTTTTTTTTGGTTTTTCGAGACAGGGTTTCTCTGTGTAGCTTTGCGCCTTTCCTGGAACTCACTTGGTAGCCCAGGCTGGCCTCGAACTCACAGAGATCCACCTGGCTCTGCCTCCCGAGTGCTGGGATTAAAGGCGTGCGCCACCACTGCCCGGCTAGAACAAAATATTTTAATAGTCCATGCTAACATCAATTTTCCCTGCTTAAAATAGTAATCAAGAAATCTTGGGGGAAAACCAATTCCAGTTCTCATTATCTTGTGAGATAATGATATTTATCTCACAAGAGAACGGTCTCAGCCTTGATCAGTTTACCTTCGGTGACCACTCACCTTCCATGCACTCATTCACAGACTCATAGTCCGCGTAAGTTCTGCCTTCTGGTCTCTTGGTAGGCTGTACCAACAAAATGGTGTGAGACTGAAAGAGAAAACAATTTCAATGTACATCCTAATATGCATTTCAGAAATTCACATCATGACATAAGGCCCTAGCGTATGACACAAATGTTATTTATTAGAACATAATTAACTAGGTTGCTCTTCCCACAACACGGAAGGAAGCCTCTGTCCATGTTATCAGTGCTGGGGTGACAAACCCCCTAAGTCAGTCCCTTACTCTGAGTCATTTCTCCAACTCCAAATTTACGTGCCAGCAAGTACTCACAAAAGCGACCATGTACTCTTTAATATCTCTCCTTGCCAACCTTCAAAACCTGTTTTCTGTCGCCACTGGTCTCTAGTTCTATTAACTCTCAATAAAAACGAAGACAGGGTGATAAAGGGAGAGGAAGAGGGAATACTATAATCACTCTATCAACCCAAGGTCTTTTTCCAACTGGAGCACAACAGTGGAACCTCACTTTTATTCAGGAGTTACTCTCACATCAATGTGCAAGATAAATTAGTAATATAAAATGAATACAGTTAAATACCAGCCTTAAATGGAATCCTGGTCTTCAGTAAGAGGAGCCAATGCTCTTAATCACTAAGCTGCCACTCCAGACCCACTTCTTACTATCTTGAAAAAAAAAGAGCCAGGAGGTGGTGGCACACGCCTTTAATCCCAGCACTAGGGAGGCAGAGCCAGGCGGATCTCCGTGGGGTTCAAGGCCAACCTGGTCTATAGAGTGAGATCCAGGATAGGCACCAAAATTTAAACTATCAACAAATTGGAACCAAGATGTCTTAAGATCTAGGTTTTCTGGATAAAAAACAGTACTTTAAATCACGGGATTAGATTTGTTTTATAGGGGTTCATAAAGGCCAGCTACTCAAAGCACTTTCAGTATATCACTTGTTGAGAACTTATGAGAACTATATTTATACTCTTGCAGTGGCTTATCCTAAACAAGCTATTCATTCTTTGCCACATTTTTTAAATTTTAAGTCAAACTAAGAAATAATTTGAGAGCCGGGCGGTGGTGGCACACGCCTTTAATCCCAGCCCTCGGGAGGCAGAGCCAGGTGGATCTCTGTGAGTTCGAAGCCAGCCTGGTCTACAACACGAGATCCAGGACAGGCACCAAAGCTACACAGAGAAACCCTGTCTCAAAACAGACACACACAAATTTTTTTTTGAAAGAATACCATTTGAAAAGTGTACACACACACACAATCCTGCTCCAAATAAATCCCGCGAACCTCTCTCCCTTTTGTTTACTAAAGAACAGGAAGGGCTGGGGTACTGGAGAGATGGCTTTGAGGTTAAAAGCGCAAGCTGCTCTTCCAAGGGACCAGTTTTTCGGTTTCCTGCCCCTACAGGGTTGCTCACAATCATCTGTAATCCCAATTCTAGGGAATCGGGCGTCCTGTTTTGTCTGCCGCAGGCACTGAACCCAAGTGGCACAGACATGCAGGCAAAACACCAATAAACAGAAAAAAAAAATCTTTTAAGACTCCCAGAAGCAAAACAACAATACACGAGAGGGTTGAAGAGATAGCTCAGTGGTTAAGAGCACGTGCTACTCTCACAAAGGACCCGAGTTTGGTTCCCAGCACCCACATTCGCTTGTTCTAACTCCAGATCCTGGGGATCTCACACCCTCTTCTGGCTTCAGCGGGCACCTGTACTCGACATGCACAAACACAGATCCGTAATTTAACAAACAAAACAAAAGCCTTTACAGGACGTATAAACCACACTTTACTACATCCCTGTCAGATTCTAGGGCCTGGACCCTGGAGTCTCTTTTCAGGCTCCACTCTCAAGAAAAGCAAAGTAGAAAGAACAAGACCGAAGGCAAACCGGGGCAACTGAGGATACTGAAAAAGGGAAAATACTTCTTTTTTTTTTTTTTGGAACACTGCGGGGACGGCTGAGGAGGCACACTGCCAAGGAAACCCGACCCCCCAGCCCCACATGCGACGAACAAACAGTAAGGTGACGAGCGTGTCAGTTTCAGAAAAGGCCATTGTTCCCACAGTCCGCATCGGAAGAGAAAGAGCCGGCACCCCACGCCTCCCTCTTCCGGGCGGCAGCGATCCGCAGACGGTGCACCCCTTTGCCCACCGCACACCTCGCCCGCACCAGCAGGCGGGCGCGCAGCCGCAAGGCGGACCAGGTCCGGGGCCTACAGCGAGGCCCCGCGTCTCAGCGTCGGGAAGGGGAAGGGTCGATCCGCGAGCTGGGGGGGGGGGGGGGGAGGCGGGGAGCAGCTCGCTCGCGCTGGATGGGCGGGCACAGGAGGAGTGGGAAGATGGACGGAGCAGGGGTGGCCCCAGAAAGTCGGGGACCCCGGCCACCGCGGAGGACTCACCATCGCGCCAAACGCTTTGCTGCAGCCGCCGCTAACACCGCTGCCGCCGCACACGAGCTCAGCCGCAACGCCGCCAACAGCCAATCCCGCGAGAGCGGTCGCCGGAAATCGTCGGAAGCGCGACGCGAAAGAGCCTTTTTGAGCCATAGAGCGTCGCGCATTTCCGGTTTCTAGAGCGGATATTGACTCCGTTTCAGCCATCTTGGGTAAGGGCGCGGAGATGTGTAAGAATTTTGCCGCTTTAGAAACAGCAGTTTGTTTCGGGACGCTGCCTTCTGTACTTCAATTAGCCGACGGGTGACTGAAATGATGGAGAACACAACAGTGACACTAGTCTTTTTTTTCTTTTTTTTTTTTTTAAACCTTTCTAAAAAATGGCGGCAATATAACTACCGCGGCCTATAGGTCCGTTGTAACCCGGAAGTGTCCTGCTTTAGAGGGGGCGGTGAGACAATCCGGAAGTGGGAGTAATGAAGAGGTGCCACTTGGCGGCCATGGCAGCTGTAGTATTGGCGACTCAGGGTCAGGGCCTGGCTGAGGGAAGTACCATGGGCAGCACCCGGTGTAGGGCAGAGACAGCGTTGTGTCGACTTGGCTGTTGAATCCTCGGGGCCCACTGTTGACTTGCGGGACAGCTTGCTCGACGCTAGACTTGGAAGGGAGTTTGCTGGGACTGGTGGGCTGGTCCCTGGGGGCGGATCACCTGCGGGGCCACCCTAGGGAACCAGGTACCGACCGAGGTGAAGACACTTAGCTTTACTTTTTTCCTGCTGCTACCAGACACACTGTCTAGGGGAGTGGGTCGGTTTGCCACCCTCATTCCGAAGATTGAAGAGATCTCTTTCGCACAGTTTCTCCATCTGTTACCCATCGGAATCCCGGTGATTGGCATCCAAGAACCTGAGATTGAGCAAAGTTTTCTCTGGTGCTAGTGTCAGCAAAAAGGAGCCTGCTTCTTGGTACGCAGGAGAGCAGCGTGATTCGTGAACACACCGGCTGGTGGCAAGGTTGAAAAAAGTGGGAAACTCCCTTGTTCTCCTGGAAAAATCACACGTCTAAAGAGCCTAAGCGCCTTTTCAAACCGCTGGAATTTTGAAGCCTGGTGGTAGAGGGTCACTGCAGGAGGGCAGAATGGATGATTTTCTCTCCATTAGTCTGCTGTCTTTGGCGATGTTGGTGGGATGTTACGTGGCTGGAATCATTCCTTTGGCTGTTAATTTCTCAGAGGTAAGAAATTCTCGTTTTTTGCCAAGTGTTAGGATGGCGCTAGACATAGTGATATTTGCAAAGAGAAGCTGTTTCTCAGCTCTAAGGTCTCATTAAGGAAAAGATATGTAACAGTTCACAGTAGAAACAAAGTTCAGTTCTATAAATATTTTGTTTGTTTCTTTTGTTTAGTTTTATTTATTTTTATTTTATGTGCATTGGTGTTTTGCTTACATGTAGGTCTGTGTGAGAGTGCCAGACCTCCTGGATCCGGAGTGACAGACAGCTGTGAGCTGCCATGTGGGTGCTGGGAATTGAGCCCCGGTCCTTTGGAAGAGTAGCCCGTGCTCTTAACCGCTGAGCCATCTCTCTAGCCCCTTGTTTTTATTTGTTAAGACAGGGTTTCTCTGCGTAGCTGTTGCTATCCTGGAACTCTGTAGACCATGCTGGCCTCGAACTCACAGAGATCCACTTGCCTCTGCCTCCCAAATGCTAGGATTAAAGGCGTGTGCCTCCACCTCCCAGCTCTGCTCTGTAAATTTTAACGGAGAGTAGTGGATAATCCACTGAAGAACCTGGAGTGTTCAGACTCCTCTGAAAACTATATACAAAAAAACTGGGGCTCTGTGCATTTTCCTAGAGAGAGGCACGGTAGTTACATTCTGATGGTTCCCGGAGGTTTCAAGAGACCAAGGTACCAGATAAAAACAAATGGAGACTATGACTTTGTCCATGTGAGTCAAAATCAGTATAACAATTTCTTGAGAAATTATGGATTTTTTTTTTTTTGAGGAAAGCTTAGTTGTCAGTACTACAATCAGTGTGACAAAAAACAAACAAACAAAACCCAAACCAAACAAACAAAAAACTAAAGTAGGTTGTTATTATCATTTTCTTTCAAAGAAGCCAAGAACTGGAATGGATATTCTGAGATTATTTCAAATCTGTTTGCTTAGAAATAACTTTTTGGTTAATATGTTTGGACACTTGTTCATTTGTTAGGTTGTCTTCCCTTAAACAGGTTAGCTGAAGGGGAGAGAGGACACACTCATCTATTCTTTAGATTGTCGCAAAGAGTTCCCTAGGTGCACAGTGCTCAAAGGTTTAGGGAGAAAAACTACTCCATTCAAGAGAATTTCAGGGTTTTCCTCAAGATCAGCACTGAAATAAGCCCTTGCCTCAGTTCTATTCCTGAAAGGACTAATTTCCTCAAAGGAAGATGAGGGATAGATGAGGCGTGAGGTAGGCCTTGAAGAGAGTCAGAAGAAAGGACATTGATGGTGGAAACACCAGCCTGGGTGGAGAGGGTGGTGAGGCAGGCAGTGGAGGTCAGCCTTCAGCCAGGGAAAGGGACGCTTCTCTTGGACTGCGCTCTTCCTTTTCCTTTCCGTTTTCATCTGTGCCCTTTGGGGATACAATTATAACATGAAGACATTTCATTTTATTGTGTATATATGTTATGGATATTTTGCCTACATGTTTGTCTGTGTACCACATGCATGCCTCGTGTCATTGGAGGCCAGAAGTCCTGGGGTCCCCTGGAACTGGGGTTAAAAAGGGTTGTGAGCCACCCTGTGGGTGCTGGGAATATAATCCGGGTCCTCTAGAAGAACAGGTAGTGCTTTTAACTGCGGAGCCATCTCTCCAGCCCCTAGCAATAACACATTTTTAAAAAGTTATATATTACCTAACTTGACTCACTGAAAGGGCTGGGGTATAGCCAGATAGTGTTTGCCTAGAGCATGCAAGGCCTAGGTGTGGTATCCAGCACTGTCACAGGCAAAACCCACAGCAGACTCCCTGAGCTACAACAAGGAAACAGGCTGTGTAACTTGAAAAGTTCACCAAGTATCTTGGAATGGGCTGCTCTGACTCAGAGCTGTTCTCAGCCACTGTCCATCGTGGCAAGGGTACATAGTACATGTACTACGTAGCTCATAGACAGATCCAGCCCACAGACTTACTGTTAGATTAGCATATTTAAATTTTCGTTACTGTTTTTTCTCATGTCTTCTGTCAAGATAGCAGAGGCCGCCGGACAGTGCTGGAGCATGCCTTTAATCCCAGCACTTGGGAGGCAGAGGCAGGCGGATCTCTGTGAGTTCGAGGCCAGCCTGGGCTGCAGAGTGAGTTCCAGGACAGGTGCAAAGCTACACAGAGAAACCCTATCTCGAAAAACCAAAAGAAAAAGAAAAAAAAAAAAAGATAGCAGAGGCTCTCCTTGACCAATGAAGTTCTCTTTTGGGTTACTTTCCTGCCTAGGCTTTCTGAACCTCCTGTTTTTCCTCTATCATATTTTCTTTCTTTCTTTTAAAATATTTATTTATTTTATGTGTGTGAGTATTTTGTGTACCCGGTGCTCTTGGAGGCCAGAAGAGAGCATCAGATTCCTTAGAACTAGTTTAACAGATGATTATGATCCACCATATTGGGCTGGGAATCGAACTCCCATCTACTGGGAGAGCAGCAGTGCACTTAACCACTGAGCCATCTCTCCAGCCCAGCCTATATCTTCTTATACTTGTTTTAGAATTGGATTGGTGTTATTAGGGTGACATTTGTGAGGCTTGGATTGGTTTGTATATTTAAATACTTTAATTGAGGTAAAATTTATTTTTTTATTTTTTTGTTTGTTTTGATACAAGGTCTCACTATATAGCTCTGGCTGGCTTCAAACTCACAGGGATCTACCTGCCTACCTCTTTCTCCCAAGGATTAAAGGTGTGCACCACCAGGCCTGGCTTAGCTAGGGTAAAATTCAAGTAAGCAATTTATAGTTTGTTTTTTGGCTTTTTGTTTTGTTTTGTTGAGATAGGGTTTCTTTGTGTAGCAGCCCTGATTTCCTTGGAACTTACTTTATAGAACAAGCTGATCTTGAACTCACAGAGATCCAACTGCCTTTGCCTCCCAAGTTTTGGGATTAAAGGCATGAACCACCATGCTTGATGAGTTTTCTTTTTCTCAAACTTGGTTTTTGAAATTTTTGTTTGTTTATTTATTTTATTTTATTTTACACAGAGAAACCCTCTCTGTAGCCCTGGCTGTCCTAGAACTTGCTCTGTAGACCAGGCTGGCTCAGAGATCTGCCTGCCTCTGCCTCCCAAGTGCTGGGATCAAAGGTGTGCACCACCACAGTCTGGCTGTTTTTTGAGGCAGGGTTTCTCTGTGTAACAGCCCTGGCTGTCCTGAAATTCACTCTGTAGACTAGGCTGGCTTCGAACTCACAAGGATCCACCTATCTCTGCCTCCCTAAAGCTGGGATTAAAAACATACACCTCCATGCCATCTGAAGAATTTCTCAGAACAGAAATAAAGCCAGATGATTAATGGAACCATTAATTCTTACACACTAGTTCTCTGAAGTTGCTGTAGCAGAGGCCACTTGTTACACCCGACGATTAGAAAGTGTACAGCATTGATTTCTCCCACTTTCTCCTCATCTGCAAACCACCCTTATCCATGCTTGTGAGACTTTCTTTGCCCTTAGCCCTGGAGACTGTACCTTCGTGAATTTTTGATTTATGAAACAAAGAACAATTTTAATTGTCAAATTAATTATATATAACTATGGTAATGAAGATGCTAATTTTTCAGCATATGAGGAAGTGAAAAACTAGTCTTGTGATGGAGGCCATAGCTGGCCTTCCATAAATGAGGTCCTGTGTGGCATCTTGTGTTTTTTTAGATTCAGTTGCCTAGGAGCAGCTTGCTTTGGCAGTTAGTAACAGTGCTGTGGAAACAGACTGAGCTTATCTTACCTAGTTTACACTCAGCAGCTGCCCTGATCCTTGCATGAAGTAGATAAAGATGGCCAGAGTGGGATTTTAGGTTGATTGCCTGAGGATTATTTTTGTTTTAAATTTCCATTCCAATCCAGACCAGTACATTTGCAAAAATGAAATGAAGGGGAACAAAAGGCTAGCAAATGCAATCCCACAGGTGTTAATAGAGTCAGCAGACATAAAATTATTCCTGTATTTGTAATAACTATATTGTTAGAAAAGTTTCTG